GCTGTTTGGTCCAAACAGCAGAATAAAGTCCAAACGTAAAGTCCAAACATTTTCCCACCCCTGCATCCTGTTGCCCAGTATCTCTCTTAAATTCTAGAAAGTTTGTTATTTTCAAATATTCTACTCGATGCTTCTGTAAATGACAAAAATTTTGCCACCTTAAATTCAGTCAACCAGTGCAGCCGCACCGGTTCTGGCGCCGGGCAGAGGAAGTATGCTTAACCCTTAGTCGATAAAGTCGCCAATAATGGTACAACCGATGCCGAACAAAATAACCTCGCTGGTAACCTTTTACTCCTCATTTTCAAAACAAGTCGCAGCCATTTCTTCATTTTCAGATTGATTGTTTCTTTCAATACTGGCATACACTTACATAGAATTTTTACTAGGTAGTTCAATTTTATGCCCTAAGGCCATTCGCGGGCGGTAATTACGTCAATTAGGATGCAACCACACCGCTCACCTGATGGCGAAAATATAGAAAAGGCGAAGTCAAGGGTTAGATTCATCAATTCTAATGAGAATGCACTAGCGAAGTAAAGCACAGAGGTTTTACATAATTTCTGAGTAAGCTATTCGTACGAATTGAAATAATTCTTGCATTTAAACCTGTATTCCAAATTAAGATTTAACTTGAAATTAATGTAGATAGTTACTGAGAGAATTAGATTTTTGTAGCGTAGTTTACGTAAGATGAGATCATTTGGGGTCACGTGAGATGAACCGGAGAATCAGGATGTTGTACCATGAAAACATGGTAAATTCTTAAATTAATGTCTTTTTACAAATTTATTGTCTTTATTTATTGGTTCGGTGCTACTCTGGTAGACGGTTGCACGGATTTTTGGCGATTTACGTTGGCGCGATTTTTACAATCGTCAGCATCTTGAAAAAAGCTGTTTTTACGCATAGTAAAGTATTCGAAACTTAATATATATATATATATATATATATCGTTAAAAGTAATGGATTCATTTTTTGTTGAAAATGTCGTTTTTTAAGATGGCAGGCAAGTGTAAATAAATACATTTACTATAAGTATAAAATACTAAAGTAAGGTTATTATTATTTTCATATGAAGAAGAAAATAAAAACACCGCTATAAAAACATTGTGCCAACGTTTAATTAGATTAAAATATTACTTAAATTGAATATCGAATTAAAAACATTATACCAACATTTAAAAGAATTAAAATATTACTAAATTCAAATATTTTAAAATACGTTATATAAAATATAATTAACATTAAAACATATGTGACAATAACTATCTCAGCAATTTTTGAACATAGTGTATTAAATTTTTATCAAAAATTGAAGTATACAATTATGAAATAAAAGAAAATATGTGCTTACATTTTTTTGAGTCATACAACTTGTCGTTTATTGATAAGTACCACAAAAAAAATCGGAACCGTAATTTAGATATCAATGAAAAAAATTTGAAAATTAATATCGAGGGCAGGAATAAAAAAAATTTTAAAAAACTAAAAAATTTATAAATAGATAAAGCAGTTTAGAGCCAAATTAATGGATCATGAAGATTAAAAATAACAAAAAAAATTGAAAAAAAAAGTCCTCCAATAATAGGTATTGTTTTTAAGATTTCGAAGATCCTTTAACTGCCAATTATCCCAGTTTATGTCTCGAATAATTTCGAGAAATTTAACTTATGGATGCTCATTCAATGCAGAGCAAATTTTCCTAAACAAATACCAGGCTATGAATCCTTCAAAATCTCCTCGACGATTGTAAACCGACAAAGAATTTTTGAAGTCATGCCTTTTTCTTTCAACTGTGTTAGTATGAGCTCCGGTTTCAGGATCTACGAAATGGAGCGAATGGTTAACTTGCAAGTGACTGAAACTTTCTTCGCTCAAACGGTCATAAGCTTTGCAGCAGTCCGAAATAATTTGGGTTTCCGGTTCGATCCAATCCTTAATTAAAGCGAGAAGAGTATCCGCTGTTCTGTCTGGCACATCAACTAAAAACCAGCGACCTGAATCGCGCTTTATTCCCCAAAGAATCCCACTGCCCTTCAACGAATCGACCCTTGTTAAACTTTCTTTTCCCGATTTTGGACTCATTAATCTCCACAATTTTCCCTGGCCCTCCGATCTTCTCTGTTTTAGCTTCTACAAAGTTAATTAAAACGTCGCTTACATAACTGCGCCAGTCGGCTAACTGCGCCAGTCGGCTAACTGCGCCAGTCGCCTACAGCTTCTGAAAAAATACCGAGCTCACATTGAATTCTATCGTACGAAGAACCCATGAATATTTCGTACCCATTAGAGCTAAAATGACAGCAATTGGAAGTTTACTGCCGGTAAAAAAAGGAGGAACGTCTAATACATTTTTTTACCGTTACAGAGGTTATTTCTTCCACCGTGACCACAATACCATATACGGCCGTCCTCAGAATCGGCTCTTTTAACCATCTTCATCTGTGATCTGCATTTCTGGCGCTTCACTGAAGAAGCAATTAGCTAGGTTTTCTCCAAAAATTTTAAATAAATTTTCTCTGACCCTTGTAACAATTGTAAATAAATCTTTGATTAGGAAAGCCAGGCTGTCCAAAATAAGGTCTCAAAGGACAATTTTTTGATTCCGATACCAATAATTCTTGGTAATTACCAATAACAACATTCATCTTTGAAGGACTTCGAAACGGTGAAACTCGGCGGCCATGTTCCTGTTATCGCTGTGACTTGCGCAAGGGAATCTGTAATTGCATTATTATTATTATTATTATTATTTCTTTTCTTTTTGAAGCATGTCAGCTTGTATTGCATATGGATGCACAAATAGATTTTCGAAAAATATTCCTAAGATTACTTTTCATTCGTAAGTATTGATTTTCTTTTTCTATGTAATTTGATAAATATGTCAAAAAATATCACAATGTCATGTTGTTTTCTTTCCAGATGCGAAAAACGTACTCAATAATAATCAAAATATCTTAAATACATTTTAATGTTTCTGTTTATTGCTGACAACTTCATTCCTTAACATACAATGGTATATGCTAGGATTTAACTGTATAATTGAACGTTTTAGGTAATTCGTTTTATAATTTTCTTAAAAGTAAGAAATCAATGTTAGTATTTTTATGAATTGTAAAGGTATTAAAATAAAGTAATGTTTTTCTTATGTATTAATTATTATTCATTTTTAAAGTTTTGTGACTGTAGGAATATAATTGTGCATTTGATCAAGATAAAACAACTTTTCTGCTGTTAAAATTTTTTTGAATAAATTTACAAATTTGTTGGCAGTATAGCGATAAAAGTAAGTAAAAATTTATACAACTGAACATGTGGAAAGATGTATCCAAAAATTTATATAGGTATATTTCTGTAATTCAGTTCAATTCAAGGCAAATTCTGTGAGATCATATATACGAAACGCGCATGAACTGAAATCACTGAATTCTCATAAATTGTTTTATTTTATTAATATTATTCTCTTGTTGTTATAAGGTTTTTGTTATGAAAAAAGAATTATTTAAAACTTTCATTTTAAAATATGCAACCTGTGACCATATTTTTAGATGATTATCTGCTATTAATTTCAGGTTAAATTATTTTAAATGATTCTTTAATAAATTATGATAATATTTTCAAAAAATCAGAAATATCACTTCTTCAAAGGAAAAATTGGAAAGTACACCAACAGGTTGCTAGTAAAACCTAAACAAAGCCTTGAAATATGCAGAAATATCATTTTTTAAAGGCTTTAATGTTATGCACATGCATGAATTTAGATTTCGAACTATTTCTTAATAATTTTCTGTACGTAGTAAATTACGGATATCATCTTTATAACTTTAAAACAAAAAAACTAACAATAGCGAAGCATTTATTTATAAATTTAACATATTTTTACTGGAAGGAAAATACATGCACGGAACAGCTTGAAAACACGTACGTTTTACTGCAGTAATGCAATGTTTTGAAGTACACACATGGACGCCACTTGTTGTCGGTTAGAGTTTTCATTCCCCGAGAGTGGAGGAAACTGCGAAACCTCCCTCCTTCTATTCTAACCTCCTTGGTCTACTCTAACCAATGACAGACCTTCCTTGCACCAGTCACAGTGACAGTAATATCATGGCCGCCAAGATTTACGGTTTGAGTTGAGCTTTCCTGCTTCTATTCTAACCGCGTTAGTTAAAATTGACAGTAAACCAAACAGTTGTTAAAAAAAAAAAAAAAAAAAAAAAAAACCCAGAAATTTGCTTTTATAGTAACCTAAAAATTTCAGCTGCCAAATCTCAAAAGGGAAATATATATGTATGTGATGTATCAGCTTTAGTGTCGTAGCTTAAATAATCAGACGATAAGTTTAAAAAACAGGATCCATTTATTATTATTCAGGAGAAATAGCAGTTACAAAAATTAGATATCCGGAGTAAATAAAAAGAATTACTAATAACTTTTTGTATGAAGTTTATTGCATCGTGACATTTAAGAAAAAGCCCCGATATTCCTTTGCGAGTCCTTTTATAGCCTCTGGAAAGGCGAGCTTCCAAGAAATGACGTCAGCCTCGTCAGCCAATCCAGTTCACTTTAAATATTTCCAAAACATTCTATAACTGTACGCGTAGAAAAGGCGGGAAAAACAACTTGACTACGGGGCTGTGTATTTAATTCCACGTACTTTCAAATAAGAGACCGTCGCCATTAAAAATGAAAAGAACATACAGTTAGAATTTTAAGTGTATTCTTGACTATGGAATTTTATTATTACATGTATATATAAGTTATACAAAATCACAAAGCGTAGGATATCCCAACTACTTGTGCAAACCGAAATACCTGAAATACTTGTCAACCCAATATAATGTAAATTTACTGAATTCTGTAAGGGAATCATATGTCCTTTTTGACGATAAATTTTACTAAATTTCCTTTGAACTGTTTACGCCTGAAAATTTGTAAGTAAAAATATTTTGTTTCTTCGTGAATGGCAATAATTTCTTTGTTTACGTTCAGCTGACGGATGTTTGTCTCGCGTCTTCTTTCTTTCCCAGTGATGTTATGATGATATATGGATTTTAGTAGAATATTTTTCCAGGTACTCACAAATTATGTTTGACGCTTATGATTTAAATAAACCTCCTCCAAATAAAATTTCCAAACATTTCGTGAAATGGGAAGAATCATTTTCTTTAAATGATACTGGATAGTGATTAATATTTTCTAAATATACTATAAAGTAATAATTGGCATAATAATATTTTTAAGGATACTGCTTTTTTCTGGATGTGATGACGGCTGTGATTCAAATGATCACTTTCGGAATGTTTTCCCGTTGCAGCTATTTATTAAAATCTCACAGATACCCCTCCTTTAATATATCACAGATACCCCTCTTCTTTGAATACGACAGAAATTGTAAAATGGGAATATAATATTGAATCATGAGACGGCTTGTTCATAACCTTTAAGTTAATCTTCGAGAATTATTAAATGCTGCCCAGATGCAGAAGTTTTGCAATATACAAAACTATGAGTATTTGTTTTGAATAAAAAAGAACATTTTTCTGTTTGTTGTGAAAACTGTAAGAAAGCCTCTTGTAACACAACTAATAGGATTCTTGTAACACAACTAATAGGATTCTGAAGCATAACTTAATTAGATATCAATCTCCATGTATAAGAGAAGCCTACGTTCATTTACTATTATATGCCAGTTAAGTGTATATGCATGCACAGGTTATGGATTTTAAAACCTTCTTGAAACAGGAATTAATGGCAAAAGCTAAAAGGAATTAATGTCAAAGCATCCGCATGCAATCAAAAATCTGAATGATGAACATGTAGCAAATGCTAAACCATATGTGAAAGAAATTACGTGAGTTTGTTGGAGTTTAATATGAATTTCATGACATCAGTGCAAAAAGATATGTCAACTTCCATCACAGAGCAACCATTCAGGAGTGATACCAATTCCAGGCCACCTTATGATAAAAATGACTTCAGAAGTCACTCGAGTAAAAGAACGTACATTTGTGAAATGTGTTTGAAGTCTTATACACGAAAATCTACCTTAAACAAACACATAGAAAGTCATACTGGAGTGATGCCATATCAGTGTGATACATGTTATATGCGATTTGCACAAAAAAGGCTTTTATACAGACATGCACTTATACATTCAGGTGAAAAACCACATGTATGCGATTTATGTAGCAAGTCATTTTCCCGCAAAGATTCATTAAGGAATCACATGCTTACCCACAGTAATGAGAAGCCACATAAGTGTGATACGTGCTGCGAGACTTTTGCACGCAAGGACAGTTTAATTTTGCATATGTATGTACACTCAGGTATGAAACCACATGTGTGTAATGTATGTGGCCAGTCATTTGCACGTCGATCTCAGTTAAAAAATCACTTCTATATTCACACATGTGAGAAACCGCACAGATGTGATATATGTGCCAAGTCGTTTGCTCGCAGAGGTGACTTGAAAGAACATGTGTATACGCACACAGGAGAGAAACCTCATAAGTGTAATATATGTTACAAATCATTTGCACAGAAAGGTCAGTTAAACAAACACATGCTTATCCATACTGGTGAGAAACCGCATATGTGCGATACATGCAACAGGACATTTGCTCACAAAGCTTCATTAAATAATCATATGCTAACTCACTCTGTGGTGAAATTATATAAATGTGATGTGTGCTCAAAGTCATTCACACGCAACGATACCTTAATCTTGCATATGCATACCCACACTGGTATGAAACCTCATGAGTGTGGTATATGTGGCAAGTCATTTTCACAAAAAAGTAATTTAAATCAACATATGCGTATCCATACTTGTGAGAAACCATACAAATGTGATAAATGTGGTAAATCATTTGTACAGAAGGGTAATTTAAATGTACATATGCTTGTCCATAGTCAGAGTCGTAGCTAGGGTTTTCAGCGCCCAGGGACAACTGAAGATTTCGCGCCCCCTACTGGTTGCCAAGGATGGAAAACATTTAATTCTAAAATGTCGTAACATCAGTTTGGCGCCCCTTGGATTCTGCGCCCGGGGACAGATGCCCCCCTTGCCCCCCTCTAGCTATGCCCCTGTCCATAGTAGTGTTAAATCACACTAGGACAGTTAAACTTCTCATGGTGACTATCTTTGAAATTTGCTATGATCAGTTCCTCAGAATTTAGCTTATTTTTAAAGAATACAACACTTCTAAAGCGTTCACCTCCACAGATATACAAAATTGGTATTTGTCTTCTATAGCACCTTGGCAGGAGATAATGATGTTGGCACTGTTCAGCCTTAAGAAAGTGCTATTTGATGCCAAGTGTTATAAACATAAAATGAAATTGATTGTGATTAGGAATAAACAAGAAATTTACAAGTTTTTTAACATATAGTTATAGAAATTATTTAATATGAGATTTGATATGCTAAAATATAGTTATGGGTGTTGCCGATTTTTGGAGGTATATTTTTGCTGTTTATATTGTTGCTACACAAAGCCAAAATAAGTCAAAGAATTGCACAAACTTGGCATTGCGCACTTGCTTGACGTTGTCCATGTACACATCGATCTATTTTCACTTAAAAAGTCAAAGGAGCAGCAAACAAAAAATATATAATCTCAATAAACTACATTTTAAATCAAACAATCAAATAATCAAATAACATAAAAAAGGAAATTCATCTTAGCAATACACAAAGGAAATATCCACTTACCTTATTTAGAAATTGACCTGTCTTCAGTCAAACAGAATTCCTTAACAGCATCCAAAAACTTCCTAAAATTATTTGAACTATAATCTGTAAACTGGCAACACCACATAAATTCACAAAGAGTAATATCCTCCGATGTTCGACCATACACATTTCCTTCCTACAAACAGGACACTTATAATAGCTGCTAAGTAAACCTTCATTTACATACCAATTAATGCTGTTTTCCCCTTTAATTCCAAATTGTACATAAACTTCAAATTAATTTTTTACCACATTCAGCCATTTTACCATCTAAACCACAAAACAAACAACAAGCTTCTTAACCAACATACAATTAATTAATGCTGTTTTCCCCTTTCATTCTAAATCCTACATAAACTTCAAATTAATCTTACCACACCACAAACCCTTACAATCTTTTCTCATCATTCAAATTCACCAAAATCGTACAACCAATTATAATAAGGTTTTCATAACATTCAACTACTCAAGTTACCATAAATAAAACAACTTCATGATAATACAAGGGGTACCCTTAAATATACTTTAACCACTATGTAATTCTACATAACTAACGTGCAGTTCGGTAGCCATAAACATTTGTTGTTCCAGTGCAGAAACGTGCCAAATCAATATTCTTGCCTCGACTGCTTCAGAAGACATGTATACCAAAATTTACTATACTGAATGTGAATACGAAAAATACTTAGGTTATTAACCATTTCTCACACGTCTGAAGATTAATAACCATTTTATGCTATAGAAGACAAGTGTCACAAAATCATTTAGAATTCTCTATGGATATCTTGAGATTTCACTGTACTGCATGTATGTTTTATGCAGTCAAATTTATATTTATTTTCTGTCTGAAATCTAAAGTTTGGTACCTGCAAAACAATATTTTCTTTGGCTGTTCTTTGTTATTGAAATATATTGATAACCAAATACTAAAATGACATAAATAAAACACGTGACTGTGATATGAATTAATATCGTCTGGAAAAGGCAAATTTAGAGTAAAAAAGAAATTGCATATAATTTATCATCATACACTCAAGAGCCAAAACATTATGACCACCTGTCAATAACGAGTTGGGCCACCTTTAACACGCAACACAGCTTCAACCCGCCTTGGCATGGATGCCACAAGTCCTTGATAGATGGCCGGAGACAGATTGCAGCAGATGTTGTAGCAACGGTCACGCAAATCCGAGATATTGCGAATTGGTGGTCTTTGACCTCTGAGCTGTCGTCCCATGACATCCCAAATGTGTTCTATTGATTGACATCCGATGAGTTAGGCGGCCAGGACATTAACTGGAAATCAGCTTCATGTTCCTGGAACCACTCCAACACAATTGTAGCCTTGTGACACGGGGTTTTGTCCTGTTGGAACGTTCCATTTCCAGCTGGAAAAACAGAGGCCATGTAAAAATGCAACTGGTCCGAAATGATGTCCAGATACCCTGTAGCATTCATGGTACGCTCTACCACAACCATGAGTCCCAGAGACGCCCAAGAGAACGTCCCCCGGAGCATAATACCGCCACCACCGGCTGTGTATGACCAACTGTGCATTGAGAGAGCAACTGTTCGCCTGAAAGACGGCGTATTCTGACACGGCCATCAGCGTTATGAATGAAAACCGTGATTCATCTGACCAGGCAACTCTCTCCCACTGATCCATGACCAGTCGTGATGTTTCCGGGCCCAGCGCAGGCGCAGTTGGCGATGACGCTTGGTCAGCAAAGGCACATGACTGGGATGTTTGCTGCATAGCCCCATATCCAACAGTGTGCTCCGATACTTTTCTACTTGTCTCTGCATTGTAAGCTGAGCCACTGTCTGGCTCCGGTTTTGCTTGACCATGGGAGACAGTCTCCGATGACCTTTTTCTTTGATAGCGTGTGGACGTCCAACACCATGTCATCTACTGCTGGTTTCACCGCCATTCATCCACTTTTCATACGTACTAACAACTGTAGATCGTGAACAACCCACGAGTCGTGCATTTCGGAAATACTTGTCCGAGCCTTCGAGCATTACAAGCTGCCCTCTATCAAAGTCGCTTAGATCCGCAGCCTTTCCCATCACACACAGAAGTAAGTGAAAGAATGATTCTTCAGACTCTACAGCAGCAGTTAAATACCACTTCCACCTGATCACATGCCTTCCACGTCATCCAGGCGCGTTCATCGCAAAATGTAGGGCTGGTCATAATGTTTTGGCTCTTGAGTGCATAGTTTCATTGCATTTAAGTTATCTTTATACCAAGTGTGTGTATCCACATTTTCTGGAAACTTTGTATATCCCTCTGAGCATTACGGGTTTAGCCCTGAAATTTCAAGGTTCCTCAAAATGTCATGAATAAGTGATATTTTCTTGATTTTAATAAAAAAGACTCTTTTTTTGTACCCTGATTTCTTTTCTTCCAATATACATCCAAACTGAAATCAGATACATTAAAAGCTAGCAGAAATTTTTCATGTGTAATGAATGTGGAAGGCAACCTTCTGTACGGAATTTTCCATCTGTAACGCTGAGAGGGATATATTATACATGTATGTATAAATATATCTATAGAAAAATATTTGATGAAAATTCATTTTAAGTGCATGCCACTGGATGATTTTGTATGAATGTGATTACATCTGTTATTTATGCAACAAAATATGTTTATTTTAGTGCTACATTATTTTATTATTTCCAAGAAGCATATTTCAAATTGTCATCTGTATAACATAGTGAAGGGTTTTTTTTCTTCCAATGGCAGATTATGAATAATTACAAATGTAGCCCAGTCCATTAACCTATACAATGCAAGATGTGGTGGTCTCTTTATTATGGAGGCACCCTAATAGTGGGCCACCATCGCATTTCCTATGAAGGGACGGACAGTTACAACCATGCCTTCTCCGGGATTCGAACCCAGGCCCTTTGGCATCGCAGTCAGCTTCCTTGACCACTATACTGCCTGGGCGGCTATAACATAGTGAGGTTTAACCAGCAATTTTCATAACTGTCATAGTTTACTTATCAATTTGTAAGCAACTAACAAATCTTGTGATCTGAGGTTTCACTGTGTGCACCCTTTTATATGTGCAAAATTTATGTTACCTGAAATATGGTATAGGAATTCAAAATTACATTTTGGATACATTTAACTAAGTATTTGTAGAAAAACATTTGTTTAATAAAAAGATTATTTTTCTATTAATACCAGCATTTCAGAAAGACTTTGTTGCCAAAAATTAGTTTGAAAATTTACAGTGTAGCTGTATATATACTTTTAAACAGTAGCATGGGCAATTTGAATAAAATAAAAGGCAGAAAATTTGAATGTTAATGTCAATAACTTTAAAATATATTAAATGTTGTATCAAAAGAAGAAAGAGTTAAGTTAAATTTAAATAATTCCCTTGCGCCATTCCTGCAAGGAAGGAAATTTGAATTTAACAGACATTCTCTATTCGTTAAAAGCAAATTAAAAGTTAATGAAATTTAATTGCAAATAAATAATTAATTATTGCTGCGCAAACTAATCTACAATATAATTTAAATTCTGGGAGCATATGTAAATCAAGTGCAAATATCAAAATCCATGAACAAATATATAATTTCAAAAAAATTTTTAATCCTAAAAAAAAATTATAAAAATGCAAAAGTGAATAATTGTTGAGCAAGCAGGAGGAATTATTTAAATTCAATAGTTAGATCTTTCTGCAGGTGAGAGGAATATCAATAGGAGCAAACAGTTCTACACAAATATGTAACCTATTTCTTTTTGCTTATGAATGTAAATTCCAGCTAAGTTTGAATAAGAATGAATTAAAGTTATTTGTAAATACATTTAGATACATTGGTGATATAACTTTCAATAATTCTGCTTTTGAACAATTCAAAATTTACCCAAATAGTTTAACACTTAATAAAACTAATACAAATCGATACTATTAAATACCTAGACCTGCTCATAATTAAACACAGCAAAATTTAATTATATAATAAAAGGAGAAATTTCCAGTTTAATACTATTAAACTAATTAATTGGAACTTTAATATCTCTAGAAAAGTAATAGGCCAAATAATCAGAATAAAAAATATATGTACATAAATAGAAGATTTAAAGGAAGAAATAGTAAAGCTAATTAATGATTCAAGAATACCAAGTTCAACACAATTATTAATTATATATAAAAAGGCAGGCATTAACTTTATAATTTTGACTTTTGGTATGATAACATTCTTTAAACCTTAGCTAGAGGGTAATGAGGATTTAAGAGAAGGGATATTCTTTAAAATTTATTTATGGGTAAAAAGGTATATTTAAACAATATGGATTTTAGTTTTACTAATGAAGGGCCAACTCTTTTCAAAAGTCTCAATTATAGCCCAAATTGAGTGAAGTTTTTTATCTTTTTTCTAATTTTGCTTACTTTTAGAAAGTATTTAGTAAAGTTTTGGTTAAACTTGTTGAAATTCAGTTTTAATTAAGACTATTACAGTAAATTCTTACTTTTATTAAAAGCATTTTAATATTTTTCGGAATTAAAATTAATTTTTTTAATTTTACTTCAATTTTTTTTACTTTATTGCAAGTTGACCGTACCGATTGGAGGATTTCATTTGCTCCTATCTAAAAGATTGCATTAATGATAATGAACCTGATGAAAATTATCTGATTAAATAACAAAATTAATTTGGTTTAAAACTCACTCTAAGGAATAACACTTAGGGCTGCAGCTTGGCTCATTTAAGCCTATATATCAGGGACTTAGTGTTTCAAGTTGTAGGATTTTGGTTGTCTCTTTATTTCCGTAATGTGAACTGCTCAAAAAGAATTATCCACATTGTGGCAATTTTAAGTCACCAAAAGCAATTTATCTTATTAAACTTTGGCTGTGTTAACTTCGTAAAGTAAATTATATGGCCCATTAAAATGCAACCCACCTTCATTCCGATAAATTTTCTACAGTCAAAGGTCGTTAATCCGGACTTGTCGGGACTTCGGCTATTCCCGATTATCGATTTTTCCAGATTATAGATCATCAATTTAAATCTGGTAAGATAGCATGCAGAAATTATAAAATTAAAAATATGAAACCGTAATTTATGAAATAAAGAACAATTATGATCTAAAGGGTATCAAAATTTACAAACAAAAAAAAAAAAGCTTAATATTTATTTGTTTACTTTATTAAACATTTCTTTCAATGTAAGTTGCTTCGTTTTATGTGATAATACTTTCTCTTTAATTCTATAAACAGACATAATTTCTTTTCAGTTACAAAGTTCCGCTGTTCAAGTCCCTTATTGCTGTGTCGAGAATACCGACTATTTGGTAATCGAATTTTCGTTTTCAATAACTCGTGTCATTTTTCACTATCGGAAGCGAATATAATGACAAGGAATTTGATTTAAATCATATCAAAGACGGAGTACATCGAGATTGAAATACTACATTTAGTAAGGAATTATAAGCCGAAATAAAATAAAAACATCTGCCTGAAGATAAGGATAGTGCTGACAGATCAACTTCCAGTTCATTGCGCGCCGCGACGCCCCCCCCCCGCCCGCAGAGCAGCGTTGAAATTGATAAACAGATTTCGGAAAATGGTTAGAGAAACAAAGGATATGCCTTTATCCATTTTTTGCAGCAATTACTTTTTGTTTGATGGACATCGAAACATACTTTCGCTTTGTAGATCCTTTACATATTAGCATATATATCGGAAATTCTATTTGACATAATCGAAAGTTCAAGCTTACTTTTATAAAATTGCTCTAACAGTCTGCAAAAAATAATAAGCCGGATCCAATTCGAAGATTAAAGAACAACGTAATCTGAAATAACGCGACTGAAATAGAGAATTAGATAATTTTAGCTTAGCTTATACCGTCCATTATACATTAAACGCGCGTGCGGAAACGTATGCGCATGGGCACACGCATATTCGCTGCCGTAAAGGTCTTACGCACATGCGTCAACGCGACGCATGCGCAGAAAGTTTTTAGCTTTGAGGTCCGGATTATGGGTGTCCGAATTAACGACTTTTGACTGTACATCCTTTGTTTCTATCTGCCTGTACATTTGAATGTCTCACTTGTACATATATTCTTTAGTGACGTATATAATTTCATTGCATGATAACCAATACATTTTTAGTTTTTCAGCAAAGTTTCGGATTCTGAGAAAAAGCTCAAATTTCATTGTTTCTGAAATCTCAGGGTTGGAGCAAAGCCATTCATTTTGGGAAAGAAAATGGAAATTGTGTGCTGCAGCAAGGATATTTGGTGTTTGTGAAAGATGGAACGGATTATTTAAGGATCAAAATAACAATGATAGTGAAGATAAAACAAAATTTCATGATACGCCTAAAGATATAGCGGAAGAAAAACATAACGAACTCTTCATGTTATCCGATACTGGAAATGTTTATTTTATAAGGTGTGCCACTTCTTTTAAATAAGTAGCATTTTGGTGCATGTAGAAATCTAATTTTTTCCTTATTTTTAAGCTATCATTTTAATATCCGATGTATAACTCGCACCCGTAAATTTCAATTCTATTTTTTTTTATTAGAATTGCACGTTATACGCCAGAATAATACGGTGTATATATAATTTATATGCTATGAGTTACTGTGAACAGACTTAATTGAAGTAAATTCTTTTCATTGGTCTGGCTGTATACTTTTCTAACACTATTTCTTCATTTTAAATATTTTCGTTTTTCCAATTAAAGTGAAAGCTTTCTTAAAAATAAATTTTGTGCAAAATATAATCTTATTTAACTGAATTTTTGGTTGAATTTGTTTTTGTCAGATAGTAAAACAAACTTCTTTCAAAGGGGTCATTATTTTTTGTTTTTTTATTATCAGACAAAGAAGAATATTACTTTGAATCCAGTCAAATATTCATTATCTTAAAAACTTTGAATAATTTTAATAACATATTGTTTTTTACCAACGAAAGACACGAATGTATTTCATAAAATCTTTGACAATGAATGTAAATTTAGACTTAAACTGCAAACATTATTATTCTCTGCATTTGTAAACAATAGTGGCAATAAATGCAAAGAATGGTAATGTTTGCAGAATGATAGTAAAAGTTTCACGAGTATTATTTATGATGTAATATGTACCCATTTTGGCCATAATGTAAAAGTGCATTTTCGTTTTCTTGAATGAACGATCCTAATAGTGAATTCAGTCATTAAAATTCTTTCATTTAACTCTTAAGAACTTTGTTAATAAACGATTCCTGAGTGATTCACCAGCAGGCAACAATTTAAGCAAATTAGCCGGAATGCGTAATTCTTCATATTTGTTACTCTTCTGGAACTATAACTGTTGCCTTTCGGTGCTATTTTGCCGCTTAATTTCGATATATCTACCTTAGTGCCTGTGCGGATGATATAAAATGTAAAATAAGAAACATTTACTAAAGTACTATACTACTTGTAATTTGTTACATACATCACCGTGTAGGTTTTGGTCTTTTATGTAGTCTTTTTCTTCTAACTGTGGTATTGACACACTATTTAAATCAAGTATCTAAGAAGAAAGTACTCGCAAGAAAAACCAAGGATTTGATGTATGTCGACCAACTGCGTGACTAGTGTGGATTATTTTTGTCGACAATTGCGTGAATAGTGTGGATTATCTTCTTTTGAAGAGTTTAATCTTTTCCGTTCCGAATCTCAGAAATTGTTGATTTCAGCTAAATTTGATCTACAGGGATATGATCTACGTCTATCTTCACCCACAGAAAACAACTGCGAAGGAAAATAAGTTCCAGTTTTAAGATAGAAAGAAGTTCCAGTTCTAGCTATCTTGGAATCTGCATGACAATACATTGTCGATTGACTTAAAGACATCCACTAATGAAGAAACGGTCCCAATAAACTAAAAGGAAGACAACTGCAATACCAAATCGTCCGGGTTCGAATCCCGGAGAAGGCATTGGATGTAAAATTGTCTGTCCTCTCATAGGAGGTAACGGTGGCCGCCTATTAGGTGCCTCCAGAATAAAATGACCGCCACTTGCGGCGTTAGAAGTGGTCAGTGCTAGAAAGGCAAGAGACCGTCGTAAAAAAAAGTTATGATTACAAAAATGTTGAAAGCATAAATTCTCGTGGGGCAAGGAACTGCCATCAGAGATCGCAAGAAAATACCGGAAATGGAAAAGTCAACTATCAGAAATCAAGAAGAT